ATTACATAATGTTACATAAATAGACCAGAATGCCCCTGATTAGTGGAGGGACACCTAGTCAAATAAACACTAAATAAGATTAGGCCCAGTAACTAAGGCCCAATAACTAATGACTTAAGACCCAACAAGGATAAACATACAAATTAAGACAGCCGAACCAACATGAACCTTAAAAAATAAGAAAATAATAAAAGGAAACTAGTATATAAACCCACAAAATGAATATTTTAGTTTAATAGTATATATTTAATTATTATAATATCTAAAAACAAATAACAAAAGTGTTTCATAGAGACATTTACAAAATTGGTTAGCGATTAAGTGAGGTGACCATCCATGAGTGCCTTATCACATAGGTGTCGCCTTGACAACTATATACATGAACATGTGTTTCATGTAAAGATGTAGGAGTGCCTGGGAATTCCCATTCACATACACAAACACATTGTAAAAGTTGCACAAACAATCCATATATGTACATATAGGCTTGCATTGGCTGGGTGACTCACTGCATATTGTCTTCAATGTAGGAACAAGATTTAAAACTGTCTGAGCTTGAGTCTGAGAACCGAAAGATGAAGGTTGAGCTTGAAGAGTTCAGGGCTGAAGCTACTCATTTAAAGAATCAACAGGCAACAATAAGGAGACTTGAAGAACGCAACCGCCAATTGGAACAACAGGTTGGCATTACATTCAAAGCAGTGCATCAAGTTTTATTTATTCCATTTTGATGCTACATCTTAAATGACATTAGATGTAAATGCTGCTTGTACAGTCACAACATTTTATGTTCTGTAGCATTCACTGCAGATACTGGAACTGGTCCATAAATCCAATTTGCATAACTTTGATTGTTCAAAGTTTGAAATACAAACATAGAAAAGTAAAAGAAATCAAAGTTCATATTGTATTTTGTGATTACAAATATAATATGTCCTATAAATAGGACATTAGATAGGTTTTGGTTATTTCATATTTTAGGGGGTAGACTTGGAAATCAGATCAGTGTTTATTTCAACTAGCAGGGAAGCCCTGCTTTGCAGGGGTGAAATAGAAAAATGACATTTGGAGATACAATAATAAATTAGATGACTTTTTTGTTAAATAAAGTAACTATAACTATATTACTACAAATAATAAATAACTATAGTGGGCCCCAGTTTGGTTTAGGGCTGCCAATGGGTTAGGTCTAGGTAAAAGCAGTCTTGGGCCAATTATTTAATTGGGATAAAATCATAGACCTGATTATATTCTCATAGTAACTTAAAATAATACTAAATTATTTTTATTTTAATAAGTCAAACATTTTTAACTAATATTATCTTATTTATCATCTATCAAATTTACTATTTCAAACATAAAACATGATAAAAATTACATATTTCCATAAAATAATCGGTTCCAGATCTGAATCAGTTTTGGACAAGTAAGAACAAAAACCGACCCAATTATTAATCGAGACAAAATCATGGAACCATAACCGTTATAATTATGTTCAACAAATTTAGCTCCATCGGGTAGACCCAACCCATTGGTTCAGCCCTAGTTTTTGTTAAATAAATTAATGGTTATATAATAATTTATTAAATTAAATGAAATAAATAAATGAATAAATAAAAGTTTATTGGGATGGGACTGGTATAGACTATCTCAAACCAGACCCAATCCGTTGACAACCCTAAATATTGGGCTCAAGGGGAGAGAATATTTTGTTAGTAAATTATTTCTAAATAAATAAATAATTTAGTAAAATAAATAAATAAATGTTTATTAAAATCTTTCTCTCAATGTCAAATCTCCTTTATTTTATTGATCTATAAATAATTTGTTTACTTTTATTAAATAAACAAATGTGTAGATAATAATAATAATAATAGTAATAATAATAATAATAATAATAAATAAATAAATAAATGAATAAATAAAAGTTGAGATAGAGAATAGGAGGAGAGAGAATTAGGTGAAAGAGAAGAGGGATGACATTTTATTTTATAGGATGGCATAATCGTAAATAATTATGTGACACTCTTGTAATTTTCAAATGCCATAGAGTCAATTACATTTGAAGGTTTGTCTTATATGTGGCAGTCCCGTAATTTTCGAATATCATAGAGGCAATTACACATGAATATAAATAAGCTGATTATTGAAGGCGATTCGCAAGTGGTAATTGGCTGGATAGAGAAGGCAAACGATGAGTTATGGGCATACATTAATTAGAAAAGGCATTTCAAGTGGCTAACCCAAGGAATGGATGTGCGTATCCAATGGGTTAAAAGATGTGCTAATTCATTTGTAGATGCTTAGGCCAAACAAGGTATGGGAAGAAGCCATTTGTTTCAGGATACTATGTAGTTCTTTTGTTGGGGGGGGGGGGGTGGTTAGAGGGTTTACCTCCCCCCACCTTTGTATTTTAATCTTCTTATAATCTAATGAAAGTTTCCTGTTGTTGATCAAAAAAAAAAAAAGAAAAAGAGGCAATTACATAGTGAGGTAAAGAGAGTAAATTTGTCTTATATGTGGCATTCTTGTAATTTTTGAATGCCATAGAGTCAATTACATTGGAAGGGTTTGTCTTATATGTGGCAGTCCTGTAATTTTTGAATATCATAGAGGCAATTACATAGTGAGGTAAAGAGAGTAAATTTGTCTTATATGTGACACTTCTATAATTTTTGCCTTTTCGGATACCATAAAGTCAATTATATAGGGAGGTTTGTCTTTATGTGGCATTCCTGTAATTTCTTGAGGTCACTTTCACACGTTTCGTGGTCTTTATGTGTGGGATACTGTTTCTTGGAAGGAGAATGCACAACCATACACCCATTTTATTGTTAGGATATATATATATATATATAGAGAGAGAGAGAGAGAGAGAGAGAGAGAGATTATTTTATGATGAATCACAAGAATAAAGGGAAAACAGATCAGGAAGAGACGAAGAGAGGAGAAGACAGAGAAGAGAGAAACTAGGTTTGAGAAGGATGAATTGTTGGTAGCAGTGTGCTGTCCCCCCAGATAATATTACCTCTTAAAATAATTATGGTGCAATTTATAAATATGCCCTTAATAAGGGCGGAAGCAGCTATGAATAACATGGAATAAAAGATAGGCCCATGACCCAATATGAAATAAAATCTAGTAACAGAAAATAAGCTATGAAGTCTATGATCTCAACAGGTAGCATCTTACAATGAGATGATACCTGAAAAACATCGTAAAATTTTGGAGTTAATTATGAAAGAGTTATCTACAAAAAAATGAAAAAAAAAGATGATATTGTAGACTAAAAATGAACTTATTACCATTTGAGGTTAGAACCCAAATAGACTGGTAGTTGTAAGTTGTAACCTTAGATTAAGAAGGTGTTATGCAAACCGTCAGCTGTAATGAGAGGGCCAACCGAAAATTTATAGAAGCGAGGAGCTAGTTACCATCTCTGGAACATCTAGAAATGCTTTATTTTTTGATTAGGGAACACTTTTTCATGTTATCTTTCACAAGACTGAGATGTTTAGTGCTGAATTTTTATCTGATAACTCTTTTCTTTTACAATGTGGATGCAGAAATCTTTTCTATTTGAATCTTTTAGTGCTGTTGGAGATGAGATGAAATTGTTGAAGTAAGAAAAGAGAAAAAAATATATGGGGACATAGAAATTGTTGGGAATAATAACAATTGAAAATAAACAGTTTGACTACAAAAATTTATGTAGTGGTCGATCAGTTCACTATAATTTTTATTTTACTATTTTTGTATAGCATTCTAAATTTCTACTCAGTGTTTGCAAGCCTCATGTTTTGGGTTATATGGTCCAAGCTTTTAATGATATGTACATTCATGTGGCTGTACAACTCTTCTTTCCTTTCTAATGCACTGACATTTGGCATGAGCTTAGATGGAAGAAAAAGTGAAGGAAATTGTGGAGATGAAGCAAAGGAGCTTGGCAGAAGAGAACCAAAAAATGCTAGAAGTCCTAAAAGAGAGGTATCACCTTTGATATCATGGAAAATTAGCCATCCCAACTTCTAGTCCTGCCATATGATATAAGAGAGGATAGAAGTTTTTCATGCCTTAACCTCGTCTTGGGTGCATATTAGGAATAAGAATAATTGATTTGTTACTGTTATTTTAGCTTATTTATAATTTATGTTGTGATTCATAGGAATCTAGCATTCCTATCTGAACATGTAGCATTTTTATTCCTATTGTGGCAGGGAGCGATTGTTGCAGGATCAGTTGAGGCAAGCAAAAGAAAGTGTTTCAAATATGCAGAAATTGCATGAATTTGCACAGACCCAATTGTTTGAACTTCGTGCTCAATCAGGTGTTATGATAAATTTAAATAGCAATTTCATATATGTTTTCCCACCCACTCAAGGAAGTCAACATCCATAGGAAAGAAATATGTTTTTATGGTTAGTTCTTTTGAAAAAAAAAATATCGTCAAACTCATTTCCCTATCTTTTCAGAGGAAGAAAGAGCGGCTAAGCAGTCAGAAGTGAATCTTCTAATGGATGAAGTTGAACGGGCTCAGTCGCGGCTGCTAAGTCTTGAAAGGGAGAAGGTGCATATGAAATTCTTTTTTCCCCAATAAGAGTCCTCCATAACCCTTCTTTAACTTGTATTTGTGTTCTCATATATTTGATTTAATATAAAATATATTGCTTCCTCTCCATCTAGTGTCCTATTATTTCATCTCGGGTTCTTTTACCTAGTAGAAATTATTGGTCACTTTTCTCTTGTCTCTGAATTAAGTCACTTCTTTGAAGTGAAGGACACTAATTTTGCATTGCCTGTCTATGCAGGGACTTCTGCGTTCCCAACTACAGTCAACAAATGAAGAAAATGAGAACAAGAAAAAGTGAGTCCATTTGATAAGAGTGATGTCTTTATCTTACCATTTTGCCTATAAAAGATTTGGTACTACTTATTCATCCATGTATATTAAGATTATGGGGGCACATACCATTCTACCAAATAAAGATTGAGTAGCTGTATTAGTCATGTTAAAACTTCAAACTGAAATCATAAATCTTGATAACCTGGATTCATTTGTTTGAATTACCAGGAGGGGATACCAAGTAAAAAATAAAAAATCAGGAGAGGATTTTCAAGCTTTCTAGGCATGTGAGTGCCTGCATTAGTTGGCTAAGGGTCAGTCTGTAGGATACATCATGGGGTAACCTCTTTTTTCATTGGTAACTGTTATGGGGGAACCTCTTGTTATACACTAGTTGCAGCTGTTTGTCTCTGTTAGATGAAGAGTATGACCAGGCATCTTAAAGGATCTCTCACCAGGAGGGTTCCAGCTAGCTTTGGGGTAGTGAAATTTGGGGGAATTGAACCCAGAGCTGATATTGAATCTCACCTTCATTAATCCTACCTACCAACATCTGACAATTGACCCATCACCCATTAAAAAAAAAAAGCTCTCCTACCAGTGATTTCGGTATGGAGCCAACAAGTGTTAGCTTATGTGGGAGAGAACTATGAATTAACATTTTTCCTTAATAGAGAAAGCATGAGCAAAAGCAGCACATAACATTGTTACAAACCGACATGCATATACACAAATTGATGTCTGTTACCAAGAATTAAGGATTAGTGAATGAGAATGCAAAGGCATGTGTGTATTTATTGTTTGTGAATATTTTTGTTTTTTGATCAGCTATTGTTTGTGAATATTTTGGTGTATGTTTATGATCTTAATATGGATGTCTCTGGTTTTCAGTGATACTTTAGATACAACTACTGTCCTGGAGAATTCTTTGAATGCAAAGGAGAAAATGATATCAGAACTGAATATGGAACTTCACAATATGGAAACTACTTTGTCAAATGAACGAGAGATACACATGAATGAGATCAAGAAGTTGAATTTATTGCTCAATGAAAAGGTATTTTGAGTTGCCTTTTTAGAAATGGTTTTGGAATGTGTTTATTCTTTAGGCTCAGTTTGTTTGCAGTGCAAATTTTATTTGCACTGGTGTAAATGCATGGGAGTGCAAATAGGCTGTGTAAATTCTGGTTTACTTTTGCTTCAATATGGCTTTGTCTTGTTTGATTGTGATAAGTAAAATAGGTAGTACAATAATTATGTCTTCACCTGGATGTACTCTGTAATTATTTTGCAAAACGGGAGGTGCATAAATCTGAATTATTCTGGGCTCAATTGTAATCTTGTTTCCAGTTGGGGCTGCATCTCGTGCCTCTTCTGGATGTACTCTGTAATCATGTGATAATTTTTCTGTTTTAATAAAATTTCTATCATTAATAAAAAGATTTATGTCTTCACCTTATATGAAAGAGAATGAAGATAGGAGGGTTATTTGTTTGGGAGTAAGGTAAGATGCAAGATGATGTGGCCTCCACTTTATATGAGAGAGAATTGATGTTGGAGGGCAGTGGTGCGAATTTTGCACCAGTTTCTGAGAAACAAAATTTGCACTTCCACAGAGTGCAAATGAGACAAAAAGTACACATTTCGTATAGGTAGGACTGCAAATCATAGTTACAAACAAACAGATGCAAAACTGAATCAAGTGCTAAATTTGTATTCAGTTCAGGTTTGCACTGTAAATAAATACTGCCTTAATTTTATTGATAAGAGTAATAATTCAGTAAAAATTAGCCTTAGGTAATAGATAATATTCCTCTGATTTTTTTTTGATAAATGAATAATGATTTTATTAATAAGAAAGAAAGTGTACATTCACCCTAAGAGGAAGCACGAGATGTTACCTCCCCTTGGAGGTGGAAGCATAAACAAACTCTTAACAGAATACAATCATAGAGTGGCAGAAAATAACTTAACCCTTGAAACCCCTTGTTTTGCCATGGCATTTGCTGATCTTCTGACCCACTGATAGGTGACTGACATATTCCTTGTGAGCCAATTAACTTTCTTAAGAAGATCCCTGTAGCCCCATAGAACAGTTTCTGGACTCAACAACCAACCCACTACCACCTTAGAATCTCCTTCAACTATCGGATTTTCCACTCCTAGTTGGTTTGCAGCCTGTATTCCTTGCACCGCAGCCAGTATTCCTCTGATTGTTAATGTCCAAATCTGTTTATCTTGTGGCACCTCTCTCTATCTCTCTCAAATTTTATCAGTACCTGGATTTTGTATACCAATTGATATATAACATCTAGATATCAAGATATCTGTTCTTTGTTATGCATGTATTCAGTAGCATGGCATTAGCTTCATTAGCCTTCTTTGTGCTTGCTCCAGCAATCTTTTATTGATGCTGTCTATTAGCTGCTGCTTCATGCTTTCTGCATTGTAGATTGTACAATACCATGAAGAACTTGCTTGGCTCTGCCCGTATTTCAAAACAAATACAAATTGCATTTTCTTGGTTTGATCTTGCAAGGCTCTTTCTATAAGTCCACTTTATTAGACTTCTATTGAGGCTCCTCGTAGTCTCCTTGTCAAGGTCTTACTCTATCCAAGAATGCATATATGCCTAACCAAGGTTTAAAATGTCGATGTCGATGGAAATGTCGCTTACCAAAATATAGGACATATGTTGGAAATGTCGGAAATGTCGAGGGGAAATATTGTAAAAATTAGAGACATTGTGGAAATATTATGAAATATGTGGAAATATGCAAAGATATTTTGTAAAATG